CTCAGGCTATTGAACACAATGGCCCGGTAGGAGCAGGATCCCATGATCCCCAGGGGCAGGGCATAGGTCAGGAGCCAGGAAAGAATGTAACTCTCTGTGCCCCCCTTCCTGCACCTGGCGTTTCCTAGCACAAACATCCCATTCTTCCTTTATCCCATGAAGGCCTCCCTGCGTGTCTGCGCGTAGAGGAGGGTGCAGGCCTGCTTCACAGCTTCAAGATACTTGCCATCCCTTTGTCCTCCTTTCCCACGCTTTGAGGCATCTGCCCTTGCTTTTCTGATAAAAAATGAAATAAAAGCGATGTGCAGAACCCAGCTGCTGCTGCCCTACTTGCAGAGGCAGCCCTGCATGGCCGCTCAGATTGGTGTCTGAGAACTTTATTTCAGCGCGCGATGACAGGAAGAGCTGCTTACAGAAGCGGCGGATCATCACGTGCTCTGCATGGACACGTCCTCCCGGCACGGGGTGCCGGGGACCTCGAGGACCACCACCTTCCGGCCTTCCCGGAGGGGCACATGGGGCCCGGCAGGCAACTGATTGGTGAAGACGTAGTAGGTGAACCTGTGTCCCACCATGAAGTGCTTCTCAACTGTCTGCAGGAACAGCTCCAGGAAGACCATGTATCCACAGGGACAGGGGACAGGGCTGGAGGAGGGTCACTGCCAGAGGCTGGCGGCAGGACCCCAAAACTTGGGCCGTGAACGTGTGCACTTTCTTCAAGGGGGCAGGCCCTGGGCTGCTTTAAGCAACAGCCACCCTCCTGGCCTGGCCTGAGCGCGTCTGCTGGTGGGGCCTCCCTCCCTTCCGCTCCCAGAGATGGGAGCCATCAGGACCCCATCTTACAAAGGGGAGCCTGAGGCTTAGAGGCTAGAAACCCATGCAGCTGATTCTACCCAGTCTGTAGGGCATAGAAACAAAGGCTGTGCCCAAAGGTGCTCAACTCATGGCAGGTGGGGACAGAACCTGCAGGGGGTCAGCCAGGGGAGGGGACGTGCAGGGTTTGCCCGGGAGCTCAGCACGGGGGGAGTGTTCCTGGCTCCAGCACGCT